TGTTAACGTGTCCTTGTCTTGATAAAACGACAATTCCCGCAGATGTTGATATCAATGCAGTGACAAATTTCTTGCAAACGCTTTCTACGAATGCGCAAAAGCGAATTGACGGTACAAATAGATATTTTTTCCGAGAACCCTGAAATCTTTATTAAACAGAGATAAATTAAGTTTATTAAGCTATCTATTGAAGTTTTTATTTAAAGCTGTTTCAGAACTACAAAAAGAGGCAAATACACTGCGAGAAAATATTGACTCGATCTTTGACATCGATGACATGAGGGAGGTTGGCTAATTTCATTTTTGTATCTTTATTGCTTTTAAACAATAAAGTTTATTCTTCCTTTTGCATTTTGAATATGTGTAGAGTATATAATTTATGCTTCATTGCTGCAGGAACCGTATCATTTACACAGCGTTATTGTCCATGAAGGCGAAGCAAATGTTGGACATTATTGGGCTTATATAGCTAGTTCTCCGGTAAGCAGTGACCAAGATAAAGAAGTACCGTGGCGTAAATTTAATGATAAAAGCGTTGAACCTGCAACTTGGCAACAAATTGAAGAAGATTCATTTGGTTCGAGAAGAGCTTGCTCTGCATATTGCTTAGTTTACACGAGAAAGAAGTGTGAGAACGTGCTCTATGGACAAGGTCAGAATTTTCAATGAGTATCATTCTATGCATTGTATGGAAAGGACTGTAGCGTGATTGACCTACTAGGCAGACTGCCTAAAGAGTATTGGATTTTTAGCAAATTTGCAAGTGGTTATCGATTGCAGTAACGAATGTTGAAAATCATTAGTCAAGAATCGATGAGCAATCTAAAATTGTTAATTTTTGATCAGTCTGAAAATTACTGATTTCCACCGGTCTGCTCAGATTAGATGTGTTTCCTTTTTATCGTAATTCTTGGAAGTTATTCTGCCATTCAAAGGATGACCGTGAATTCAGTAGGCTCTTATCCGGTGCCACATACAATTGATGTGGAAGCGCCACTATTTATAAATGAATTTAATCTGGAACTGACTGTTCCATACATGATTTAGTCAGATCGTTGTATGAAGTAGTATTGCTTATGTAGATTGCATATCTTTACATTATTTACTAAGTTTTTTATTTTTTAAACAGATAAATAGTACATATTTTCTATGTTTTTAGAGCAAAAGCAGCCAGCTCAATCGATCGTCGAATTGATTGACAGCTTGCCGAATGATCTAAAACTTGAAGTTTCTGCGGATAACGCTTTGTTTGATTCAGAAACAATCAAGTGGGACGCTGACCATCCAACCGTTGTATATGATCCTGAAAAGAAAACTTTTGTTAACCTTCCTCTACCTTCCAGTGATATGGTACATGTTCCCAGTTATTTTTAAAAGAATAAAAGATTCTAGATTAAGTATTGACATTTTCTCTCATTCTTACTTAAAACACATGATGAGATCTATATCAGAGTGTTCGTAATCTCAGGACTTGATGGAAATGGTATCTTACAAAGGTCCAGTTGAATTCGGTATACTATGCAAACGACATTATGAACTTGCAGCACGATTTTTCGGATTGTTCATGTTGAAAAGGTTAAAGGTTTTTACCACTGCGTTTACTAAATCAAATTTGGAACGATTAGATTGTTTGTATGGAAGCAATCATGGTTGAATTAAAATTCGAAAGAGTAGAATTAAGATTTTATTGTTTCTGCTTATATGCCTTCCTGTACATACAATTTCTATTTCCTTTTTTTCCTTTATATTATCTAACTTGTTGATTTAGCTCTTTTTATTCTCATTGATTAGCTTTTTTTATCACATTTCTTGATATATCACTGATGACCTTGCTTATCTTGCCTAATCTGACGATTTATCAGAATTGCATCAGATCTCGTATCTTTGTCATTCATCGTCAATCTTTGATGAAAGTTTGATTTCAGTGCCTTGAGTGCTTTGAATATAATGGACGAATTGTTTTTGGAGCGGGATGAAAGTGCATTTAGTCTGATACAAGAGGCAAGAGTTTAATCGAAGATTTTTTGCATATTGCTGGGGTCGCTGACTTCTTATTCTCTTTCCTAAAATCTATGTCCAAAAGTTATTTTGTTTTATTGTCTTTTTCTACCGTTATATATTTTAGTAAAACAAAAATTGATTTCACTTTGATTTCAGCTGCTTGCAAACCACGTGGGTCATTATGAAAAAGCACAGAAAATGTCGACTGTGCCTTATGTTGACAGATTAATGTTCTTGATCGATTGGGCATCAATATTTGGCATACCATTAAATAACCCAGCAAGATCGGTTTTTATTTTACGAATGATAATGAATGTGGATAAAGCGTAAGTGTATGCCTCTATTCTTGCTTTTAGTGAAGGTATTTTTTTAGATCTAATAAATTAATTTCAGTTTGGCTTGTACTTTTCTTGTGTTGGAGGTGCAGAAACTATTTTTTCACTTCTTTGGTTCTTGTTTCAAACTTTTTTTTACTTTGTTCAGTTTTTTTATGTTATCGATCACATTTGATAAAGCGAAATTTAGGCAATATTCTAATGTGATATCAACTTGCGAGAAAGTTGTTGAGAAATTTATTGGAGATGATCCGTCGTCAGAAATGACCTTAAACGTAATCACATTTAATAAATTGAATTTTTTGGACTTTTACAAACTTGATTTTGTTATTTTTTAAGCGTTTTAAAATAAAAGCTAATATATTTCTTCTTTTTTCTAGTTCAAAAGGTTTGGAGGGATTTACTGTTTGTGCTTCCATTTCAGAATACGCATGTCCTTTACGAGTTGTTTTGTCAAATGATAACATTGTTGAATGATATCGTCAAAAAAGTTGACCTTTCTTCAATGTAAGTATTTGCTCAAACAAAAAGATAATCATAAAGAGGGAAAGGGATCGCATTGACTTTGTCATGCATGACGTTAAAGTCATTTAAACTTTGTCATGCATGACGTTAAAGTCATTTAAATTTTAAATTATTTTTGGTTCTTGAATCTCAAACATATGAAGATAATGTTAATGGATAAAAATGCTTTTAGCAAGCAGGGCAGGACTGTGCTTTCTATGGATATACAGCAATCACGTCTTCTCTGTGTTTCGATTCGAATGATGGAGAAAATTGATATGTATGCGACAGTGAAGTCTTCTAACTTAGAGCAAAAGCTCTTTTTCTGTTTGGTACACAACGCCCTTCTTATCATTTATGTCATTGTAAGTTTGTATTCTACCTTTTTCTATATTGGCTTTATGTTTGTCCTGATTCTATATAGTAGGTTCAGTTAAAAGTACTGCAGAGGATAAGTCAACGTCTTATTGATCATATCGGTGATGAATCAGATGATAGTATTTTGGCAAACAATGAAAATTTCTTGGACAAGGAATACAAAGCAATGATTGTTCGACTGCACAGGATGGGTAACGACGCCTCCGAAAAGGTTAGTGAAATTGGTTGGACTCGTTTACTTTTTATGATTTTCAACAGATAGAGAGATAAGTTTAAATGAATACAGGAAGCGAAATAAGAAATCCGAAAAAAAATTGAATATTATTTTTTCAATAATTCATATAAATGTGATGATTAGAAAAACTTTATAATTGAATATCGGTCGAACTTGCAGACGATCCAGTATGTCATTTCTATGTGGAACCAGCTGCTATCAAATTCGAACGGTTTACAGAGAGTGCCTTGGGTTTATCAGGTATCTTTTTTGTTATGATTACTTTTAGCGCTATAAAAAAGTTAGCAGAAAAATGTACCTTGTTCCATCTTATTGTTTTTCTTTGTAGCTGATGAAGTAATTATGTTGCAAATCTTTATGATATTCGAAAAATATAATTATCAAATATGTTATATGATTATTTGACTAATTCTAGAGAAATTAATGTTAGATAATAATTATTCAGATATCCTATATTGAAAGCAAGCCATCGGATTATACACAAGGATTTGATTTCAATAAAATAAGAATAGAGATGAAAGATATGAAGCACTTCTTAATTAAAATTTTTAGAAAATTTTGGATGCATCGGAGCAGAAAACACCGTCAAACATGCCAGCACCAAAACTGAATGTGAAAGCAGCAAATTCAGGATACGATCTTTTCCTCTTAAGGCAAGCTATGGATGCTAATCTCGAAGTCAAATGCGCAGATGATTTAAATATTTTAGTACGCACAGTAGTTCAGGGGAAAAGCAACATCATTGATAATGCAAGTAGTAATTGATTCACACACTTTCTCCGTAACAGGTCCGAATTTGAGCTTTTTTTATTAGTAAATTTACTTTTATTTTGAAAACATTTTTTAGGAAGTAGAAGTTATAAATTGTAAAAAAGTTCTATGATTTTTGTAAGAAATTCAGGAAATCAACGGTGATTTAGTAGGATTATTGTGCTCTATTATTTTATTTATGTTGTGCAGTATGCTCAAATATGGAAAGTGTGTAATAATTGATAATTGATTTATGTCGTTTCCCTTCTTCAATGCATCACTGATAGCAGTCTTTTTAAAATAAGACTGTCAGAAAGCAGATGCTTTGAGATTTGTTAATTAATGGAGTTTAGGATTAATTAAATTTCGAGTATTCTTTTGCTGTTTATTGTATTTACAATTATTGGACGTTTACCGCTTTTTATCTTCCGGTTTTATTGACAAACTATTACATTTTCATAATGCTTACACATGGTAAACAGTAGTCGCTTTGTAGATGATACCGTTTTGCAGCAAAAATTGTAATACTGAAAGAATGCAAAACATGGTAGAAAAACAAACTATTAATACACATTTTTGATTATATAAATTAACAATAAATATCGTTTACTTTGCATTCTTTCCTGATTATTCCGTATTTTCCATTGATATTCATTTGCTGTCAGGAAGCTAATGTTGTATCAACGATGTATCAGTTTTTCGATTTACGCCGCTTATTTTATGGCCTTTCGTTTTATCATGTTCCTGTTTCCATGTACTACTAGTACATGTAAGGTGAATGGTGAGGAAAGGTTGATGAGGCTTGCATATTAATTAACACTTTAGCTCTTTTGCTCATCATTTTTCGGTTCTCTTTGCAATCTAGCAATTCCTGGACTAGTGGTTTTACCATTAAACATTTTTTTATGAATTCTAAAAACTTCCAAAACATATTTTTTTGTTCTAAAAAATGTTTTTATCTGTGTTGTCGTATTTATGCTGTCTTTCTTATAGTAAGCTGTTCGGTGTTTACTGCATAGCTCTTTGCTATTTGTTTTCCGTTGATGAATTTTTACTTGAATTACTCTATCCCTTGCAAATTAGCAAAAATTGTTCTGATTTCAATAAACGCAATTTAGTCTAACAAATATTGAAAGTTTACACTCCATCATATAGCGCCTTAAGACAAGATGAATATTACTGTTGGTTTCCATCGCATTTGTCTGTCAGTAAGATTTGTTGTTATACATTCAGATTATTTTTTGTATTGGCAAGCAGAAGAAAATTGGTATTTGGACCTAGTGATAAAAAACTCTTGCATTATCACATCTCATTTCTGGGCATGGTTAGTTTGTTTTTGTAAAATAATGCAGTTTTTGCACTTAATTTTAGAATCTATTTCCCAGTGACTCTACTGTTATCATATGTGATCAGTTATCAGTGTGTGACACACTTGAGCAAAGTGTTTCATCATTCAAAAATCTTCACTCATCAGGAAAAAGGAATTAATTATACTTTATTAAAATGATATATTGTCTAAGTGATGTTACCTACGCTGTGTTTCTCACCTTTTTTTAGCGGACTGCGTAATAGTGAAAGTCGACAGGCATAAACTATGGAAACATCGGACGCGGTGTTCTGATAATTAAAAGGACAAATAGCACATACTGATTGCTGTAACTTGCAGTATACAGAAGACACGGCAACCATGTTATAGGTAAAATTAAACGGTGCCAATGGAATTATTTACATAGGAAGGAAGGCAAACAGGAATTTATTGTCGTTTATTAAGTGAAGCTGATTAAGATCAGTCATCAAATGTGAAAGAAAGCACAAATTCAATTTCTTTAAATATTTCACAACTTATCTCCACGCAAAAAAAAGAATGATTTCAGCATATTTTAACCATACAAACATGTCCAAAGGTATTATAGTAAAGATTGTCTATCATCAGTTTTAGGTAATGTTCCAGCACTCTTTTCTTCTGCACCTTTTTTCTCTGTTCTGAATGTGGCGTAAGTATAAAGGAGACTTCCTATAATGCTGATATTGATACCGATAAAGTTGTTCCATCCAAATAAATAATCGTCCGATGAGAACATCCCAACATAAGTAACAAGTAAGTTCTAAAATGTCGAATTTTGTTTGGAAAGCATAGAAAAAAAACTGGGCACTAAATTCTAACATAAAATGTTCTAACATAAAAACAAAAAATTCTAACATAAAAAATTCTAATATGGTGTGTATCATAGAGCTAATTCTGAAGAGTTATCCCTTCGTTTACGATAACATATTCTAAAGGAAAAAGTATGGCATAGCAGCAATTTCAACAATTAGCATTAAGTGACGTGCGTAGTATATAAACAATTTCTATCTTTATATATAGTCTTATTAATAGCACAGTCGTTAACTTCAGCTTTGCTTTGTTATGTGATTTCCAATGCAAAAGTATACGTGTTGTATTATATTTTATATTATGCAAATTTAATTTTCACAAAATTAAAATGAATCTCAATTTCGCTGTTCGTTAGCTGTTCATTCCTTATGTTTCACGCTAAAAAAAGGATATATTTCTTGAATTTCTTTGTTGAATAACCAATGTAACATTATATATTTTTGATCTTTTTTGTTGAATGACCAATATAACATTATGACTATATTCGGTATTTGATTGTTTTGCATGGTGCCGATTTTTCCTGTTAAAATATCAAGCCATGGAGCATAGCTTTATTTTTATGATATGCAGCAGTTATCGCAATGCAAAATAATGAAGACTATTTTAGCAATTCTATTTTTGGCATGCCCTTTGTTAATCACTGTATTTAATCTCTTTAATTTTAGTGAGGACGTAGTTCTCTTTTATAAAAATTCAAAAAAAAAAAATAAAAAATGGTGAACATATAAGCTTGCTTACCAACAGGAAATGAGCAACTCAAGATGTTTAAAAAAATTATTAAAAACAACAAACACTCACTTTAACTGGACCAACACATGAAGTGGTAAGAGCACTATTGTAATGTGTACATAAAACGATTGAACAATTGAGAAAGAAGCCGCAAACAAACGAAAATGATAAACAAGCAACCACCCATATCGTTATATTTCCAGCAATGATGTATTGATGCACCTAAAACGCAGTCCATTATTTCAATTCCAACGTGTTTCAGAATCAAATCCTTGTTTCCATGTATATTATATTAGAAAAAGATGCATCTAATATTACTGATTCTGAATATTTTTAAAGTAACATTTTTGTTGCTGCTTGCTTTAAAACATCAAATCAACTGCTAAGTCATGAAAACGCCAGCTGTTAAGTTAATAATGGAATATTGTGTAGTTAAAAAGACAAAGACAACAGTACGATGATAATTATAGCAGTCCTACCACGAAAAAAATGGATTCACTTTATATTATTTTCTTACCTTTTCAAATTCTTCATTTATCCAAGCCAAAATAATCACGGGGAAAATCATGAACAATGCATTATAATATAAAAGACCATATTTACCAAGCTTCTGGAAATGTTTAGTCTTCAATAAAACGGTAAAGCATTGGGAAAAAAAAAAGATTTACAAGAATATTTATATCAAAACATTAGAATTTAAGATTAAACCTTAGCATTAAGCTTTTGTTTCACATAGACACTATTGGCGGCTGTACAAATGTCGTTGATTAAAACCATCGAATAGCCCCAAATATCAAAAGTTAAATCAAACCTGTAAATTTAAATGCATTGGAACATTAGATTTTTCTATGTTACCACTTAGGAACCACAATAGCATATAGTTTTTCCATCAAGAATTCAAAAATTTTGCTGGATAGCAACTGCTTAAAAGACAGGTGAAATAAAACAAATTCTTCTGCTCATTTTTTTCTTAAAAAGTGAATTTATAGTTGACATTTACTTATTCACATGAAAATAAAAAAGTCTTGTCAGTATAAAATAAATACTTTTTGTGTCGACAGTGACAAAACGGTACTAATGGGATCTACACCGACGTTTATTTCATACTTTGAATGATAAAATATGCACTAATCACTCCCACAAAATACTACGTAATAGCAAAATTGTCATAAAGTAATATTTCTTAGTACTTCATTTTTTAAACACAACCAGTGTCATCTACAGGATATCATAAAAATCAAATAACTTACACAGCTGCAATTACAGAACCTAAAATCATTAAACCAACTGAAATTTTCACGGCACGCGATGCTTTCACCCTGTAAAGCTAAAATTTTTATGACATCTAGGAATGTTTCAATCTTGATATTCAATTTTACATTTTAATATTGCACCAAATTTTCGAAAAAAAAAATCATTTAAACTAATGGTTAAAACTGAGGACACTTGAAGAATGTGAGTATGAGTTTATCTCATTGGTGATGGATCTAAAAGTAGAATTATTCATTGGAACTGAAAAATCGAATTGTCAATTGTGATAATTTAAATGTTTCTGACATGACATGAAATGAAAAGGGTACTCTGTAAAGAGATGTACAAAAAACAGAACTAACCCAAGTATAATATATTCCAACACCATTGTCATCAAGATCGAAAATCTGCGTAACACAGTGAACATGGGAAGACTTGAAATATTAATACAATTTTATCTGTAACTCGCCACTACCAAAATTTGAAAATGAACAACTGAAATATTATGCTGTAAAAAGAAAAACATACTTTATCCTCTGTGTACCACCCAATCCGGATATTAGATTCATAACATAAAAAATTGGCAGTGGAAAAATCTGAAAAAAAAAAAACTGATTAGATAATAAGGAATTCGAAACACCTTTACAATTGTCGTAATAGCTTTCAATAATCTAATTCAATTCGCAGAAACAATAATTCTTTCAACATCGCATTCTTTTGCGCTTCATACCTCTCTAAATGGTGTTTAAACGTGCAAATCATCATTTCTCATTATTGAATGCTCATTCGTAATGAAACTTATCTTAAGTGGAACGGATGAATCGAATGGAGGAATTGAAACGAAATCAAACACAGCAGCAAACCGTAGGACTATAACAGTTGCTGCCATCTGTCCTAATCCAACAATTAAAAATGAAGGAAATCTGGAACTCGAAGAATACGCATAACAGTACCACTGGTATACAAAGGAATTGAACAAATTAAAAAAAAAAAGAAACACATGCTGTAATTACTGTCTAACTTTAATACAAATAATTATTCGAAGCTTAATTAAATGAAAACAAACTGAAAGTTGGTGAGCAATAGTTTGTTGATAAAAACCACTATCACTGAACATATAGCATACGCTAGTGCTGTAATGATACGAATTAAAAGTGATGAATTTTCTTCCATATTAATTGTTGATTATTTATTGTAATTCGTAATGCTTTCCCACAAATCTCGCGCAGATTTCAAATCCATATAACTCGCCCATCTTGAAGGAATTCCTCATTCACATGTTTCACGTTCAATTCCTCGAAAAAAAATGCAAGGTTACGTTTTGACAAGTTGTGCTTGTTACTATAATTCTGTCTCATTGCTAAAAAATGTTGAATTGAATGAATTAATTGCTGAAGAACAATCGCCTAACAAAAAATCCAAATTCTATAATCATTTATAAAATGAGCACTCATACAGCGTTTGAAATAAATTTCTCATGTTCTGGAAGCAATTTATTATGGTAAATTACTCAACACTATGAACTCCTAGAACCATTCATACTTATTCCTCCCTAGATTTCGTTTTAAAAGAATCGAAACTTCAACATCAAAGATGCATGAAGTTGTAAAAAGGAAATAAAATCCGGTAAACGGATAATTTTATAAGGAATGTGCAAGATACTTAAGATTTGTTTGAAAAAAGTCAAAATCATATATTTTCAAATTTCTTTTAACAGTACCGATTGTGCAACGCATTAAAGTACAATTTGACATATAACAAATAGAGAAAAATAAAACGACGCAGCGTTTTTAAAATACAATTGACTAATTTCGTAAAATAAGTAGATTGCAAATGGGAAAAGAAATACATTAAAAGATAGGAAAGTAAAAAAAGGCCCAATCACATAATCGAATAAAAATGAAATCCACAAGTTGAAAAAAATATGTTAAAATCGGAAGTCTCTTAAAACTGAAAGACTCGAGAATACAAATGCTATACAATATGAAAAACATCATTTCAAAATAAATAATTCAATTAAAAATATTTCAGGCAAAAAAAAACCTTGTACATTGAAAAAAAAAAACCTTGTACATATATGATTCCGACTTATCGTGTATTTAGGCATGATCTTTCAGGCAATATAGTTAGAAAATATATAGAGAAGCAGTGAGAGTATTAGCAGCAATTTACGCTTTATTCCAGGTAAAATCCCGAAATTTTCTATGGTTTCACTGAAGAAAATTTGTGCAACTTTTCGAAAAACCAAATGAAATTGCGATTCCAAACATGGAGATCTCAACAATTTAGAATTTACCGTTTTGACAAAACCTCAAGAGCAAGATTCATATGTAATAGAAAAGTTTATCCGCCGAAATAAGTTTAAGGAGCAGCTGAAAGTAAAATCCATCCTACTGCAATTCGCATACGAATTAGTGTTACTGGATCAATATGCGATGAACTAGAAGATAGCCGTACAGTATCTTTCAGATTAAAAAAATGTAGAAGTTAAATTCTAGATTAAAATAGATCTTTTAGGAAGCAAAACTTGCAAAGAAGTTTTAAGGAAAACCGAAAAATTGAAAAATATTAAAAATAAGATAAATTAACATATCAAAAAAGACACCGTCTGAATCTGTGCAGTTTCGACAACTTACAACTTCAGGGTAATAACAATGTAGAATGAAAGTGACGATATTCCCTTATTTCTTATAGTTGGTGCATACCATTAAATTGGTATTTAAAACAGCTGTCCTTAAAAGAAATGCTTTGCAACACAAGACATAAGTACAAGATTCAGTAAAACAGCATGTTCTCCCGGATAATTTCGATAGAACATATCCCTGTTATATTCTTCTGGGTTTTTTTCATGCTCAGTTATAGCTTTTCAAAATGCAAAAGAAGTGAAAGTTTTAAAGCTATAAACGACCTAGCTAAGGAAAGAATCTGACGAAATGCAATAGTTTCTCTTTCAGTCTTTAAACACAATTGAAGTTGCATAACACAATTAATAGCTTTGAAATAATACCTGGGCCAAAAAAGAAGATAAAAAATGGACAAAAAAAAATCAGATAGAAATATTTAATATGGATATTCTACGTGATAAATTTTAACTCCAAAATCTGAATTATTCTATTCCATATGTGAGTGATTTTTCTAGAACAAATTGGAATTCGTTAAGTGAACTAATCAATTTTGATAAATAATTTAAATACTGCGGTGTTCGCAAAAAAGAAGGTTCTTCGTACATCTGCGATGTTATTGGAGTCCAAGCCATCAACGGTAACAATCCCGATAATATATGATCGCTGGAAAATTTCGTAAATTGTTTCAAGATTCCATTTCCATGCAGTCTCTTTAAAATGAAAGAGAAAGCTATGTCCGAATAAAAGTAAAAATTATAGGAGTGAAAAGTAGAAGTAACTACTTACCGGAGAGTAATTAAAATGAATAGTTGGAATTTGCCATCTTTCCCCAGAAAAGTATTAGAAGAAATGCGACGGACAAGGCGGCATGCCTGAGTGATAAGAGAACGTTGTTCCCGGGTTAGCCTTTTTACATCTTTCATATGCATTAAATCCCAAAACCAGATGCAAACCTTCTCTGAAACAACAAATTAAAAACTATCATATAGTATTATATTACCAACACCATTCGTCACTGAACGCAAAGTAGATTTGTTCAGCAAAGTGTAATAAGTTGAATTGAAATGAGCAATGGAAAAGCTAACTGGACCTTTCTTGCTTTTATTATAAGAAATTTTTTAAAGATGCAGAATTAAAAAAATGCAATTTATTTGAAATTTTATTCAATGTTATAATATATACCGATGTAATCCCATGGATAGTATGAACGAAAAAGACGAGCAGACCATATGGAATCTTGACGGCCAAACATGAAAACGACAATCATTACACTAACAAAGCCTTTTCCTGGCGCACAAAGCAGCTGTGTCAATTCGCCGCGACTACAACCTTCTGAATTAGCATAGAAGTATTTCACTAATGCATTTACTGCTTCTCCAAGCTGCTGTTGAATTTCTGTCAAATGTACACCTGCAAAACCATATTTTCATATCCAAAAGAATAGTGAACTTAGAATTTCTTAGTTTGCAATCAAAAAAAGGCTTAATACTTGCAAATTCTGTCAAAGTCTACTTTGTAATCAAATCTTACAGCAGTTGACATGGAACATGCATATACTCCAAATCACTATATAATATATAAGAGAAATAAATGTTTTGAAAAAAGATTCCTTAAAATATTACTTGATGACTTACGACTTGATGTTTCAGATCGACTAGTACTTGGTGATCGAGATCGCGGAGGAGTTCGACTCTTCAAGTTAGCTTTAATAATACGTTCCGAAGAATATTCGTCGATTAGTATTTCGTTAGGAGGATTCTATAAGCAACAAATCCAATCGATAATAAATTGCTCAATCGATAAGTGATGATTATGACAGTGAGCGAAATTAAACTTTCAGACTTTAAAATCAGATACAATTATTGTAAAATTTGCATTCGCAACTGATCTTCCGGATTAAAAATAAAAAATAACTTCTAATAGCTACATTTACTGATAAAACACCTTCAGAGATAAATATCACCTGTGGTTCTTTTTCGGCAACAAGTAATCTTTCCAGGGAGCCATCGTCAATTCCTTTACCAAACCAACGCCCACAGTTAAAGCGATAACTTTGTCCTGTTATTTCATTCCGCACTAAGACCTACAGTGAAACTCAAGCACATGAATAAATTTCATGAAGAAACACAATTTCCGAAAATTCTAATAAAGTCAGATGAAAAAAGAGATCATAAAGCTGCTTGCTAATATGATTTTAGCAAAATTTCCAACAAAATATCACGAACATAATCAAGAAACCATTTCGGAGATGCACCATTAGAAACATTTAAATTACCATGTCCAATTCTTAACGTTGATAGTATACCAAGATTTCTATACTAAAAAAATTTCAAAATATACTTCTAATATTTAGCTTTCTAACTAAAATGATTAAATTGAATGAGATCTGAACCGATGTTAAATTATCTTTAAATCTTGTTCATTTCAGAAAACATCAAATATTAAATATTTAGCTTTCTAACTAAAATGATTAAAATTGAATGAGGTTTGAATCGATGTTAAATTATCTTTAAATCTTGTTCATTTCAGAAAATCAAAAATAAAATATTGTTCAACATTTAACTATACTAAAAATAAATCTACAATAGCATAATCATGCCTGCTTACATCGAATGTGAAATCGAGTATGCTTTGCTTTAGTTCGATTGGAGTCGTTGAGCACAGCGATCCCGTGATGATAATCGACACGGGCCACGAAATAACTGAACGAGAACTGCGACTAACCAACAAGACACGATACTGCATTTCTGAAATGATGGAATGATAACAGTAACAACAAATTAAATTGGATAACACTCCAGAACTGATGGTGGTATTGCATAAATACATCGTTTAGCCTAGTAACAAGAAATAAAATCTAAACTAAGGATAATAATTAAAATGCGTTCAAAATTACTAAGAATTCTAAAAAAAGAATTTTAAAAAAAAAGAATTTTAATTAACATCTCCACATAAAAAAAGCTACCCTAATATACTCAGAAATTTTATTTTTCTGCATATTGCTATTCGATTAAATTATTCAAAAGTGATTTTTAGTACTAGATAATTAGCAAGCATGTGACATTCCCGAGACTAAAAGCTAATCCCGTTTTGAAATATTTGTATCAGAGTATCTGTAAATGAATACGATTCCTAAAAAAAATAGTGAAAGTATGAGCAAATGACTTGTTTTCTTGAAAGAGTTGGTGAAACAGCTAAATTCAGCCGCATTTAGTGATAGTACGTGATACAGGAATTGTTCCTTTTCTTCGTCGCATCGTAGAAAAGCATAACGTTTATACAGTTGTCTAAAAACAAACTTTTCACGAGCGAATCAAACTTAGAAATTACTCAGTAAGACAAACAGCTTACGTAAAAGTATTTCAAACAATCCGCATTCATTGTGGTTCGCATCATTTAAGTGTTTACTTGGTCACTTAGTCTACTATAATAATAAAGTAAACTAAGTTGATAAAGTGAACTTAAACATACTAATTTCTAGTATTGAAATGAATTTTTCATACACAATTTTTTCCATCAATCAGAGTACGACAACAAGTATAATGAAAATAACAATATTAATGCTACAAATGATCGCCAAAATTTAATTCTTAACAAATTCTTAAATTAGTGAAAGTAAACTAACTGTAAGAGATATGTATCGCCAAGAATGGTTTTGAGATGCTTATGAAGAAGCTTCCTTTCTAAGGCGAGACGAACAAAGGCTCGTGCATAACCAATATCGGTTTTGATGTCTGTCATTCGCAAGACATTCCTGAAATAATTCGGAAATCCGATGTAACAAAAAATAACAAGAAAGATATCTGATATCTGATCAAAACCGTACATTTAACAATTTTTTTAGTTCGACTTAAAATTTGAAATTCAACATACTTCAAATCATAAGCAATATGTACAGGTAGTGGTGTAAGAGACTGCCGAATATCAGGGCTACCAGTTCTCGAACTACTTTTACGTGACGAATCAATTACGTTTTCATCTACATTAGTTCCAGCTGTAGTCCAGTATGGGGCAAAATCTAAAAATATATCATTTTGCTCAAAGTCTTAGAAAATTTTGAAAATAAAATATTAATAAGCAAAGAAAATTTTACATCTCGCAAAACACAGATTCAAAAAAAAATTGAGATTTAGACACAACACAAATCTTGTATCAAATAAGCTTATATGCCATTGCATTCTTAGCTGCTTATTATCAAAGTAACAACGATTATATTTGTGCAGAGAATGAGAATGTAATTTGAGAGCGATCACTTCTCTTGGCTAGCAAAAAATACTATTAGGGAAGAGTAAAAGGAACCGTCACCTCCACTTTAAATCGGCTATTAAATGAAACAGAAACAGTTTAATCTATAAAGTGATCGAAAATGGCTCACAACTTTTGCCTAGTAGAAGCTTCTATAAGAACTGGATCAACAACCTTTGGGTTTACTACGCAATTTTATGGAATATGATCTAGTATACAAAGAGAACGTACCGATGCTTTTACGTAAATCTTCGCCAAATACAGTATAATGATTGGAGGTAAAACATGCAAACACTGAGGATGAAGAAATATATTCCTCTTGTAACATACTATCTTCTGCAGCAATGCATCAAATGCATAAAAGCACATGTTAGGACCGGGAAAAAATTCAATACTTTACAAAAATGATGTGAAGATAATGCAACATTGCTACGGATTACTAAATCAAGCATGCGATTTACAACTGTACGAAAGTTGAAGAGTTGAAAAAGCACGAAGTCATAAGCGAGAAAACTGTATTAATTGATAGCGTAAGCGACATAATTTATGTTCCATTTAAACAGCAGTTATATGAACTTTTCTCAAAATGCAAATTAACTAATATCACAAAAACAATGTAACTGTAATCATATACGCAAAGCACAGCTGTCTGTAGGTAAATTTAACATCATTGGAACATATGAATTTATATCTGGTGTATACCTTACAAACATCAGTATTATGAGGAAAGTTGATAAATAAAACACTGAATTGATTTAAAAGTTAATATATGATAGCAAATCAATAAATGAGTATTTGTCGTTGTTGAAAAATATTATGCAAAAAGATGCTAATATACATTAACGACAATACTGCAATAGTCATTTTATTGTTAAGAAGGTTATAAAATTGAAGATACTACTATGTAACTGCGAGAAAGCTGGATTATATCAAACTTGATATCATTCAAAATCTTACCACCAAAGGAATTTGCTCTATGCAAAACAGCCCCTCTCCTCGGCATCCTCTGCGGTGATCTAGAACGTCCAAAAACAATCGGACTTGACGATAAGCATGTTGGTCGAGCTGGTGATTTCCAGTTCGAATATTCCATGTTGTTGTTGTTCACGCTTGAACTCAATTTATCACAAATGAAATTAGCAGCACGAAGAATTGGAAGAGACCAGCCAGGCGCATGAGGATCATCAATGCAGTGCTGACGAATACTTTGTGCAAGCTCGTTAATTGAATCCTCATCTACGGCATTTACGAATGTCTTCTCTTCTTGCTTCATGTATTCGTGGTCGTCGTGTGTCTCATGCTCTATCTCAACTACACCTAGAATTGACTGAATAGACAAGTTGAAAATGAGCTTTCTAAAAATAACTCTGAGAATCTTGTTTTAGCAGCTGCTTTATGCAATTCTCTAAATTCGTAAAACGGCAATGGCTCTATTAGAATTGCTAAAAACTAACGAAAAAACAGTACAGAAATGATGATTTATAATAAGAATTTCACATTTACTGATAAAAATCTGGAACAAAGATAAATAAGCATATATATCAGATGATAAATGAATAACGATATGATAGAGTAATTTTACTTCAGACTATACAGTGATAGATATTAAAAAATAGTTCCAGCGCTTTAACTCTTTGTTATTTTTTCAAAAAATTATTTTAAAATTGCCAGAAAATCAGCTAGCCGATATTTTACTTATCCAATTATACACAAAAATGTCAAACAAAAATTATAAATTGTAGACATGGAATAAAGCGAGCAAGGCATTTGCAAACTCTGCAGATATTTAATATGAATTTTAATGAAATAAAAACAATAGTCCTAAACGACTGCCGAAAAGTTAACATATAGTATGCGTCAACACTGTGCATATCATTTAAAGCGTTATTCACAACACTCACATTCACGTTGCATACCTGAGCGCCATAATGAGAAAGTAAAAACACTACAAAAGCTTCAGTCACAAAACAAGTAATATAAAATATTCCTTACGCTCAAAGCGGCGACGGAATAGTAGCCACGCAAATGCTATAAATTGTCTTAGTCCACCAAAATTTTTAACACCACATTATCATTTGTCTATTTTTCGCACATATTCACTCTCTTCATAATTTTTATTTGAAAACATTATCATAAGTACTATTCCTAACAGTGATCGATAGTGTATATGTAATAATAGAAATTTATTAAAACAGAAACGTAAGTATCAAAATAAATTAGTAAATCCTCTTCAACAGTAAGTGCTTATGAAAACACCTCGTCACAAAAATAACTTTAAAATTTAGTCTTTTTAAGATACCTGGAGTAAGTGCTGAATTTCTTCGCGTTGGACCTTGAGACAGCATCCCCAATTTCTCAATTTCTTGATGACGCAAAATATGAGCCCATAATGACGATTTGCCCTAAATAGTATCTTTACAAATGAATGAATCGTCGAATTCTCTGTGAACTCTCTGTTACTGATTAAGTCGAAACTCTTTCCAAAATGACAAAAGTGATTACAGCTGAACATTGTAATCTTTCATAATTTTTTGCTTTTATTTTAAAAATTTCTCAGTAATTAGAATGTTATTCTTTACAGCGACAAGAGATCTATGAAAATTAAAATATTTTATGATGACAAGTTTATTAAATTTTCAGACTGAATGATTCATCAATGAAGCAAGGAATCAAATTCATTAATCCGGATCATAAATTTTGTAACGCAGAATAATAAATTTTTTGGGAGAAGTATAAACAACTTATGTTTCTAATTTTCCTAAAACTTTGTTTGCTTATATTACAAATATTTTGCATTAGATTGACAGAGTGTGATTAGTTCACTAGAGATAAGAATAAATATGAAATCTTCGAAGCTCATAGTTTAATATTGTCAGTAGTAAAACCTGAGCCAATAAATGTTGTGCTACATTTTAGGACTTCATAATAACCACCAATAAATATTTTAGTTCATTTTTGATCAATTGAAGTACCTGTTTGTTCAATGAACCATGTGCCCAGATTCGTTCCAATAAATCACAAAATGAAGCAACTAAAGTATTTTCTTCAAGGCCATTAACAATAGCGTCACTATGTCCAAGTTGTAGTGCTTCTCTGCCCATTTTTTCCACAAGCATTCGCTTTGTTTTACCTAGAAGAGAAATTAATCAAATTCACGTGAAATCGAATTTCGTGCTTGTTCTACATGTATTTATTACATGCTTACTAATATATCTAGAATATAGGAATATTAAACTGGTGCAAAAGGAACTCACTTTTAGTTTCTTTCAATAACTGTTCAACAAATTTCCAGTTTTGATGAGCTATCTGTCTTGGTGTATCCGGTTTATATGAGTTCTGTTTATTTGATGTGTTGTCATCCGCAATAATACTCTGCAATGAAATGAAATTCGAAGTATTGGCAATACTTAACAGTTATTTTAGAAATCCATTACGATTCAAAGGACTAAAACGGAGTGTATAAATGCAACCTCGGAAAACTCACCTCTAACAACTTTGGCCGTAATCTACGATGCCGTTGCTTCCATGGTGACGGCACTGGACTTCGTACAAAAGAACCTTCCAAAACAGTTTCATTAAGTTCCGGAAATGTACCATCATAAGCTTTTGCAAATGTGCCAGGAAGTTCATGCGGTAAGGGAACAATATAATCGAGTGCTTCTTCACGTTTGGTTATTGTTCCTTCTGTAGAAAAATTCCGAAATGATAAAGCAAATTTTAAACTTTAGTCTAAGTCATAACTACTATCACTTTTTTAAATGATCTTTACTCTCATTCTCTGTTTTTAACATCTGAACCTAATTTTCAATTTCATCATGCTTTATTTGGATGACATATTGTAAACACTGTTTCTTAACTTATTCTATAGCGATTATAATTAAAGAGACTGAGCGGACAAACGACTTCATCACTAGATGTCTCAATTGGTCAAAAAGAAATCAATTTGGAATCACTTCTCGCCACTCGTAAGTTGGAGTATTGAATAATAATTTATTATAAAAAACTGACAATTCAGAAGCATATTTGAAAGCGAAAAGAAACATAAACCTATTAAAAATAGATGGAAAATTTACTATTCGACGTATTAAATGAAGAAGAATATTAGTTTAAGTTTATACAATTTAAGTCAAAAAACTGTTCAATAGAACCTGAATCAAAAGATGGCGGAGCCTTTTCATAAGTAGGAGTACGCACCATCTGAAGGCCATACTTCATACGTAATGTCTGTATTCGAGAATCAAAGATTTGAAGATTTTCATCTGCCGTTGCTTCCCACTGCGAAACAATTTTCGCATCAATGAATGAAGTAAACATCTGGAAAAGATATTTAATGTGATGTGCATCTAACAATCGTATTTTAACAACTCTATCATCGAAAAATTTTTAAGCAAAATAATAAAATTATACTATATAAATTACGGAAAATAAAGCTGAAATAAAATCTCAAACCTGTGTTTCTAAAAATGCAGCCAAAAATGGTAGGTTTTTACTTGGCTGGTCGGAAAGAAAGGCTGCTTTATCAAAATTGGTAACCGATTCGCGACTAGCAAAATATGTTTCGAGATCATGACATGCAGTATTGATAACAAAATGTTCATAGGAATAAAGAAGCCATGCAAATCGGTTGATAAACACTTCACGAATAGCATTATTTATTTTCATATCCTGAAAATATTTTATGCTTCAACAATTAAATGACCAAGTCTCAATCCTTATATTCATTATTGATAAAAAATCTTGATATTAAACAATATATCCGCTTCTCTAACAAAGAAAATAATCTTACTGGAACTAAAAAAATTTCTAAATCAACAATATAATTTCTAAGCAAATTCTGAGATTTAAGAACACATCACTAGATACACCGAAAAAAATCTGTCATACATACTTTGAAATATTCTCTACACACCCGCGAATTCGTATAAAAATCATTGGATTGTAATTCTTTCTGAATATTTTCAAATGGTATGCTAACGCCTGCACGATGTGCAATTGCAGTAACCCTGAAAAAGCAAATAAAACGCTTTATAATTCTTGTCAACCAAAATGATGGGCTTAAACATAGTGAAAATATTCACACTGACATGAAGATAAAAATTTTAATAATAGGTAACCGACGAATATAATTACCTTGCTAAAACTTCACTCTGTTTCAAGACATCATCGAAAGGCAATGGAGTAAGGTCCTTTCTTGACATTATCCGTCTGGAAGAATTATCCTCCTCCAACAAATTTGGTAATGTTTCGCCATCAAATGAACGGGACATACGTTTTTTATACCAGTCATCTTTTTCTGTAATACCGGTTTGTCTTCTCACTACTTCACTGTCCAAAACTGCACTCTGCTCTTCATATCTGAAACGTATTAAATCGTCACAAAATTTTTTTTTTTCGAATTCTTTCTATTTTGAACATGGTACAATCATCCCATAGTTAATATCTGTCAGTCTACTTTAATCAAATAATTGAAAAAGATTAAGATCGTACAATAAACTATTTTGTTTTAATTTAATCAATGAACTAATTCCACTCACGTTTGAAAACCCGAACCTAAGTTAAGTAGAGCTAAATTTAATCAATGCACTAATTTTAACAGTTGCCTTTTTACACAACTGCTAAAATTTATGCATTGATTAATTGAAGTATGCAAAAGTACCTCACAAGAACACTTGCAACTTCTTTTGCAAATTCAGCTCTATCTGGTAGTGCTGGTACATCTTCGGGTAAATTTAGTACACCGGAATCGATATCTAGGACGCACATATTGCCCTAAATTTTAAGGATCTTCACTCAGCGAGCTTTGATTTACTTGTTTTCATTTAATTTCAATCACAAATGCGAACACTGCACAAGATGTGCAATTATTACTTCAAAAAATAAAAAAATTTTAATCTTAATCAACCTGGAAAATCTGCTCCGATATGACGTCTTCGTAACATAAACCCATAACAAAAGGCACCGGTGCTTCCATAAACTTTAATTGCGAGTAGGGTAAGATTGGAACATATGCAAGTTGCCAACGGAATGGAAATGCCAAAGAACACATACTCTCAGCTACTAGCATTAAACGTTGGAGACCTAAAGTATCGAGATCATATAAATTCAACACTAAATTTAATTCTCAAAAGGATAATATAATAGTATGAAACTACAGAATAAATCACCGGAACAGCAAAAGAAAAAACAAAACAAAAATACTAACTCCTCGAACACAGTAATGTTTGATGTTCAAGAAGAAAACACGTGAAAAGTCGAAGAAATTTATCAACAGTAAGCAAATCGAACAACGAACTAATAGCGTGATCGAAAAAAGGCAACTCATTAGGACCTGGTCTTTGCAAGACAATGTCAATACGATCTAAACATATCTTTAGCGTACTACCTGGAGCTGGAAGGGGGACCTGAAACGAGGCTTTTTCAGAAAACAATGAAATTAGAAGTTGGCGGTACAATTTGAAAATACAAATACAGAAATATAGTTTCTGTAGTACTCCATAATTAAATTTAATTGACAATTAAAGACAGCTGAAACTTTACTAATCCTATCTAGATTTAAAGAACAACTTTAAAACGTTTTAAAATATGTTGAATCTGACTTCTGACCTCATTCAAAATCCAGTAGATATAACTTTCCAAAGGAAGTGGAGGAGGTTGTGCTTCTGAAGTGAATAAAGAATGAATTGCAGTTAATAGATGTTCACCGGCAGAAACAAACGGGATGCGACTAATAATGCAGATACATTTAGCCACATATAACCGAGAATTACCCGAGTCGTAGTATGAAGTACGTTTTACTCGATTCTGCAAATAAACGAGTTTCAAAGCATGACAAGAATAGCGTTACCAGAATGCCTGTTTGAAATTTAATAGGTATAAAAAAAGTTATCAATATAAACGAACCTCACGACTTCCTCTAGGAAGAGTATGTGTACCACCAGAAACTGTTCCAGGAGGAACGTGCGCACGTTCAATGGCTTTCTCGCGAGCTGTTAAGGCTCGTACGTGTTCGGTATGCAGCTGCGACATCTGCTCACATAGTTTAGCATCTTTAACCTCCTAAAATTTCTTTCAAAGACTTTTATTCTTTTCCTAAACTATATTTAATAGAAAAAACAAAGTTTGCAATTTACCGAATAACGTCTTAGAAATTTTATAAGTTACGTAAAACAATGCAATTAATCGCATGTTTCCATAAATGTAATTACACAAAAAATTTTTTGATGTTTTTATCCATCGATTTAGGATCATTGTACACGTTTTTTTTTAAACTTATTATGAAGTTCTTTTCGATGCTATTTCATAATACAAAAAAATTGAGGCTTGCGTACTAAATTAAAAACTCATCTCATGATAAATAAGGGCGCAACCGTTGATACGTGAACCGTCTTCACGAATATTCGCAAATGTATGCGTAGCTGGAGATGGAACATCATTCTGGGTATAAAATTTCAAACCTTTCGGCATACATAACTTAAAATAACAAATTTTCATAAAAATTGATTGTATTAAAAAAAATATATCCGACCCGACTTTATCAAAAATCTTTCGGAACAATATGTCTTTACATCAGTTTTATTTTATAAACTCTCATAATAAGCATGACTAGAGTGCGAATTATAAAGCAAATAAGTCAATCTATATCTACTGGTTAGAAAACTTTGCGTGTGGCTGTTATCTTGTAAGAAAAGAGATGCAAAGGAAAGATGAATGCAAGGAAAGACAAGATGGGAAAATTTTAAAGATCGCCACTGCTTAAATAGCTTTTATCAAATTGATGTAAAAGTGAATAAGAATTAACTTGAAAGTGTTTTACACTTTTTGAAAGACTTCACCTGGTTTTATATGACCTTTTGATAATGAGGAATGAGTTACATTCTTTGTATCATGCAATATCTTATATTTTAAGAGTTAGCGTAACACTTTATATATTATTTATTCAATTACGATCGGATGAAGCTAAAGCTTTTTTCTACTAAATATTTTTTTTACAAGTAACAAAATGTGTACCGAGACGATTTCAGAAGGAAACGAGTATGCGCTACGTCTTTCCGGAAAATGGTGTAGAATTGAAGCAACGTAAGATCTTTCCAAAGGCGGGATGTACAGTACCTCGGTCGCATCTGGGTTATTTGTTCCCCCTGATTCGATCTGAAGCAATGCATATCAAATAATTTAAATGTTGGATAAAAGTTTGGATATAAATTCATATAAAGCATTGTACAAATAACACAGTATGGCAAAATGTCTGGACGTATGTAAACTGCTTTCAATAATTCGATGTAAATAATTTAACTAAATTTCACGTTATAACTTTCAAATCATTGAAATAACTACCTGCAGCAAAGAATTATTATCGTGTCCAACAAGCACAAAGTAGTCCACTAATGTTAGATCACTTGCAGATGGTGCTTGTGCTATTGCTGTCGTCGTCGTAGTCGTCGTCTCAGGAGATACGTTCGATTTCATTGTTACTATGGATTTGACGACCTAGTAATAACATAGCACTAAAATAGCATATCGTTATTACAACATACTTGCTTATTTAACCATTCGATTAGAACAGACTTCACTTGTCTGAACTCCGGAATACAAACTTCGTCGAATTCATTTTAAATATTCGATACATTTCGCTTTTGAATATCATCCACTAGCAGTTTTTGGAATGATGCTATTATGCCTTGGTAAAATAGGAAATTTCCCGTCGTATTTTTTTGAATTAACGTGAAAGGAATTAATCAAATTCAGGAAAACTGAGAAATACAAAGAGGTCTTTCATTTTGTGATCCATACTCCTACTTTATTGCCAAATAATAAATGAATCAAATTCAGAAATGTTCAACCAAATTACTACCACAGTCATGTAAAAAGAGTGTTTCTGATTGTTTGCAGTGATACCATTGGATGACTGATTCATACTTCAAATTCACACATTTTTAGCATACCCCTCAGCATTTTTCTCTTTCCCAAGAAATATAACATACGTACTTTGTATAAAATTCATTTCAAAATCGTCTACTTTTGAATATTAACATCTGAACTCTGACCACAAACGTTCTCTAGTAGTCCAATGCTGCTGTTGCATTTTAACCGCAAACCCTTGTAATCTCTCGGCAATTCCTGTTCAATCTACTGTGTTTTAAAATGAACCAGATTAAAATAAGTGTGGAATAGAATGAAGAGAAAGAAAACTGCATTAAATGAAATCAAATGAAAATTTTGAGTAGACTCTTAGAGCGCAAGAGACTTGTTGCACTGAATAATTGATTGAGATTTCCTGACAACGCAAAAAATAATTACTTGCTAATATTTTTTTGTATTTCAAAAAGTAGAGGCGCCAATCATCCCACATTTGTCAGTTTCCTGCAGGTTCTATCAATTCATCCTTTTGCCGAATAATCAACAGAGATTTCCTGACAACGCAATAAAAGATGTTTCACATATCCTTAACAATATCAGATGTCAGCAGTAAAAGTGTAATGGCTATCCTCCCAGATGCAACACTCTTATTCCCAGATCAGTCTCAAAATATATCATTCCAATGACCTGACACATATTGTCAATGAAATAGCAATTCATAATGCCCGCCTTAAACTTTGAATGAGTTGTATATTCCAGACCAAACTAGATGAACAAATTATCACACAATACTATCAATATCTAGGATGGCAAAATTTACCACCGTTGATTGCTAACATCCAACCTGATTTAATTCTTCTAGTGCTGTAATACAATTCCAGTTTCAATAAAAATGTTTTCAAGCGGTACAAAATTTTTCTTAATGCTTCCACTTCAGTTCAATTAAAGATAAACGATGGAATTATCTTTCTACGTAGACCATAATACAAAATTTTTTCGACGCAGATGTACCAAGCATTTGTGTGAAAAATAGCTGTGAGATAATTTAATGTAAGGACAACAACATCTCACGAGAAATATAATTTCCGGTTTATAAAGCGCGATCAATGACGATCGTATAAAATTACTAAGACTAATAAAACAGATTAAGTTCACTGACAATTAATTATTGACCACCAGCGTTCTGATTTCATGCCAACATATTAATTAGATTTGAAGTTTGTAGTCGGGGTTCCGATTAAAGAGAAAATGATTAAATAGATCAAAGAATAGAAAAATATTCGTCAAATGGATCCTTTTTCACTTAACGAATATTTTTCTGTTCAATGATACCTGATAATATAAAGGTGATAATCACTAAGTACGCCAACACATTCAATGTTTCAACACTTAATGACAAGAATGCAAAGTACCTTCATGAAGGCCAGCAAAACCATAACGATAAATTTTCTGACGTGGAGCTATGAATCGGTTTTTATGAATGTAAAAGAGAATACACATATTATGTACTAAATAATGCAAAATATAACTGATGTTAGCATAAACAAGAACAATTTAATAATGGAAAGGAAAAATTTATTTCGATATCGCACTCTTTTTAAGAACGCGAACGGCGTCTGCGATAACTGTCCACACTGCGGCTACGAGAACGGCGAGGTGAACGTCCCCTGTAACTATACAAGGATTCGATATCGCTTCTTCAAAAAAAGTAGCAAATTCGGAATCGAAAAGATTTGTATAATCCCCGAGATGCATAGATTATCCCCTCAAAGTAAGCCTACAGAAACACTTTTCAATATCGAAATATGAACTTACTATCTCGGAGCTCCTTTGGTCACAGAAAAATCAACACGAACGCGCATTCCATCAATGACAGCATCACGAAGATGATCTTTTGCCTGCAAAAACAAGGTCAATTTGTAAGAATTATTATCCCATTCATTAATTCGACAAAAACCTTCACTCAGAGAAAACATCAATATAACTGAAAAGAAAATTTTAACAAAAAAAAAATGACTTACTCGTATTGCTTCTTTCGTAGTTTCAAAATAGACGAAGCCAAAACCACGTGAACGACCACTGTAACGATCGTACACAAGTTGAACCGATTCAATTTCTCCATATTCGCCGAAAATGCGTTTTAGATCACGCTCAGTTGTATTGAGTGACATGCCAAAAACACCAAGACATGAACAGGGCTCCGGATTATCACGACCATCGTTATAACGGCTTCGTCTTATTGGCGAGTAGCGGCTGATTCGTCGTGGGGAACGTGAACGACTGCGTCGACGTGAACGAGAGCGGCGACGAGCTGGCGATGATGGTGATCGGCTGAATATTTTTTTAATGCTTTATAATCAGTATCTTATATCAAATTCGAACAGTTGGTGATAGAAAATATCCGCGAATTTGCGGTTTGATACGTTATAGATAACAGTGTAGTTTTCGACAAATCTTAAAAATCCTGAACTAAGATACTTTGTTATTATATAGCTGAAACTGTCGAAGACAGAAGCTGGCAGTGAATTGTGTATGATAAGAAATTTTTGAATTTACAAAAAGCAAACTTGTATAACAGTAAACAATCCTTTATATGACCGATAAAATCACGTCCCTAAAATGAAACTGCAGTGTTTGAAACAGTTTCATCTTGTTCAAACTCTCTAATTGTTGACTTTTACGGCAAGCTAGAAACTTTTCTAAATATTTGTGAAATGCGGTTGGCCCTTATGTTTTGCACAGTTCAGTCCCTCCTTCCCCTATCCACCAATAGTCCGATAATAGTCAAAATCTTCCTTACGATATCAAGGAAGAGTAGATAAAATTTTGTGATTCAGAATACGAGTGATGATAACTGTTGTAAGTCAAATGAAGTCATTTTTTGAACCTTTTTCCACTGCCCTTCGTCTAGCTTTACAATAATTTCAAAGGCACCTGTTTTGGCTCATCACAAACAGAGATTTTGTGGGTTGATAGGAGAATTTAATATCTTTGAGAAAAAACCGAAGGGCCGCATAAAACTTATTGAAACCATCCAAAAAGAATTTCAAAATGTTTTTCAAATAGGGAAATGCGGTTTTGAATAATCTTAGTAGTTATTTTGTAACGGAACTTTCAAAAGAAATAGTGGAATATAGATATGTGGAGATCTTTGGATACCAAAAATGTACAGGGAGGGAGTGGAGAAATAGGATTCTAAACTACTAGCGGCATTATAAATACCACAACTGACTGTCGGTATGGTGGTGGTGCATTGCATATTGGGTATTTGAGGATGGATTCTGAACTGTATTGATTTGAATTTGACAGCCAACTCTGAGCTTGAAACTGTGATGTTCCACTCTGAGCGCTGACAATATTGAACTGCCTGCCTCACTGATTCATTGATTCTGTTTTCATTGAGACTGATTTTTGAATTCTGTTCGTTCACAGCGTTTCAGCTGTTCTGATTTTCTCACTGCCAAAAGTATCAATTAACAATATAAAATTCAAGGTTACTTCCCACTCCGTTCGGCATCTAATTAAAGTGAAATTGATAATAAGAGTTCCAGTTATCAAAAAAGACAACCGTAACAACAGCTGGTGAAATCGATCCGAAAGAAAAGCAAAAGACCTTTAGCTAAGACAGTACCTTCGTCGACGGTAACGTGAATCACGACTGCGTGATCGGTATCGTTTTCGTTCCTCAGGTGAGCGTGAGCGGCGAACACGTCGATCGTCGCGTGACCTTGAACGAGCACGAGAAGGAGACCTGGATGCTTCGTGTCCACCAGATGATCGCGAAGCAGCTGAACGTTCACGAACTGGTGATTGAGATAGTGAATGGTGGGACGATGAACGGGGTCGAGAGCCCGAGGGAGATCGAACATGGCCATTACTCTTACCTGAGGCCATTGGTGTTCCGCTTCGACTCCGTGACGCGCTACGTGCAGGTGCTGATTCACTATGCTAAAAACAGCAGCTTGCTAGTAATCACACCCTGGCTACAGTTTCAGTTGTTCTCTTCTCTTCAGAAAAAAGCACAAACTAATAGTGAAATAATTAACAACTTACGTTTCCGTCACTGCTCATTTGTTCAGCTTTTCTTCTTTTTAGCCTAAAAATATTGATCAGATTCAGCACATGGATTTCTGTAATACCATGCAATTTTTTTACGCATAAACTACTAAAAAGTAATTCCTAACTGGTATTTCATGAAGGTTCGATAAATTTTGACAACACAATCCTCAACACCGACGTAGTGAAAACCAAGGCGTATTTAAAGGATACCAAGCAACGCGTCAACACTGCACAGTGCAGTCTTCTACCTAATGCTGTGAAAGTAAAAATGCAGCCCTTTGCGTTTAACGATGACTCATGTGAGCACATTGTGAAATGTTATATCCTAAACGTAGAGTGGTCTGTTATACTAACCGAAAGTATTTTGCTATCATTTATGATAATCTGTAAACGGTTTGATACCTGGCTGCATGCTGTATACCGTTAATGAAGTTATCAGCGTCTATATGCTGGTTAAGCTGCAAGCAATTCAAATCACTAAGTCATATTGATAACTTCGCTCTCTTAAGCTATTCTGCAATATATTTTTGTTTGTTTTATTTCTAACATAGCCATTGCTACTCCAGTGTAGAAATAAACTAAGCAAATCTAATTTCATACGAAAAAATCAGATTTCTGCAATAATTCTGTGATCCTATGTGAATTAATGTGATATGACAAATATATTTTAATTGTAGCGATATCCGGTCATGTGACAAGGGATAATTGCGATGAAAACAAATGAAACTCATGTACAGGTGCATAAAGTAACCAGTTTTGAACTTCATTTTGATGATCTTAATTGGCAAGTGTATGGTTTGTTTTGGCACATGTATTGTATTGCATTTCTGTAGTAATTCTTACATTAAGAGATAAAGTCGGGACTAATAGTTTTTCATAAACTATGATGGAATACGACTGTTTTTTTAATTTAATTAACAGGATCTCTCTTCTTAAATTTTATTCGAATTGATGTAACATTATGAGATTTATACAGCTCAACAAATGAGGTCTGTTTCATTGTTTTTTGTAATCCGTTGCTAATATTATCAGGCATCAATCAACTCATAGTTGCTTTCTTGGATTTGTTGGAAGAAATACTGATTCAAATATAGATGATAGTTGACCGTGCTGTGGATGTAATTTCATGGAAAATTTTAGGCAAGATTATTTTTAAAAATTTTGAGTAACAATATTTGGGTAACATTTCAAGAACAAATAAATGTTTTAGTTTTGTAAATATTTTGCAGAAAGATTAGAAATTTTTCGGAAGAGTCGAATCGATCTTTTTTAACAATGTCAGTTTGTTTCTGATAATGTTCAACTTTTCGTTTTCTATTCGATAAATCTTCACTTTTGCAACCATAGCGGTTGTTCCGTCGCTAGATTGCGCAATTATGCAGGTCTATATTCTTTACACGAATTCAGTCATTTTACTTATTAAAAATTCACTTTATTGTTTACCTAATGTCTTGTACTGCAGCATTTAAGAAGAGTAAACAGATCTAGAGCTTATAGACATTGTTAAGGAGGAGAAATATGTATCAGAATTTCATTCCATATAAAGGAAATGACTAGGGGCAATTGACTTGTACCGGAATGTCGTAGAACAGCTATCACTCAGTAATTATGTGTTCATAGTAATATACATCTTATCATTCTCTTTCTCACTGAAAAATGTGATTGAGATAAGTTGATCGTAAGAAGAGATTGGAAAGATTGAAACACTGCAGAACAATGATTAAAAAAGCATTAATGAAACGAAAATATTGCATCAGTTTGGTTGCATTTTTAAAAATCAAAGCGCGTATTCTCAATATAATTATTAATTGCCTACTAGAAGATGATTTTTACAATGCTCTCAAAGACTGTGTTGTACTTGTTGTAGTTCGACCGTAGGAAGGTATATTACGTTCTATGATAGTATTATTCTGATGAGATTGTGATTGTTTTTGAAAGCAGCTAAAAATATATGTAATGTAAACAAGACGTGATAATTGTAGAAGTATTGCAATGATAAATAATAGGAATGAAGACAGGATAAATATCAATTTCTAAAAACTTCTAAAAACCAAATTTGCCTTTATACGATAAAATTTGCACTAATTGCCACCCACAATACATAATTGTAATGTCTTTTCAGAAAATAAATAAATATCTGTATCAAAATTGAGAAGTCACAGAATGAAAGGTTTTCTTCATTCGTCGAATGTATACGACAGCTCATTGTGAGACTGAGAGTTGTACATCTTACTCATTGTCAGGGATGGATGAATAGGCGTTTGCATTATCATTAATCACTCGACATGAGCTCTCGTGTTTCTTGAGATAAATTTGGCGGCGAAAACGCTGTCCACATTTATAACAATCGAACTGCTCATGTGAAATATGCAACAACTCGTGGACACGCTGATCGTTTCGTCGTACAAAACGTTTTCCGCATTCGAAGCACGCAAAACTGCAATTCGACTTTGCGCAGCTTGAACCTTACTACATATATGTCAACGTTTAATGAAGTATAAAGGTTGGAATCTTTAATAAAAAATCACTAATCGGTTTCGTATTCAAATGCAAAATGAAAGTAGAAACATGAAAATATCTAATGATATCCGCTGATTATATTACTAATGTTATGACCGCTAACGCCATTTAGTATATATTTAAAGATATCAACTTAAAATCCGCTACAACCTATACCACATTCATAATACTGCCTAGTTTGAAAGTTTTGCAAATTCTAATATGAAACTAACGGCCTATCTTTAGTATGTCGTGATCGAATGTGAGCTGCTAAGGCCTGTAAAAAACATTTAAACAATTGAGAGGAAAAAAGTAAGATGTAAATGAATACTGATTAAATTTATCTGGAAAATTATATTTCATCCCTCAGGTAAATTTCCAATTGAAATTTAATTTGAATCAGCAGCAAGTTTTGCTATAATCCACCCTTCTTCGAAAATACATTGTCAAAAATTTTTCCGCCTACCCGAAACTTCGGATTGATTGCATACAATGAATACGTAAGGATGCGTTGGAAATTAAAAAGGAGGTATGCGCTTTTTCCAGTTGCCGATCCTTCAAAAATGATTAAAAATTATGAAATATTCTAACCTTGGAACATTTGAAACCAGGATGAGTGCAACCGGAATAGGTGCAATTATATCGTCGATTCGTATGTACCATTATACGATGACGTCGAAGGCCTCCCTGTCGACCAAAGCATGAGCCACATTTATCACATACATATGGCTTCTCTTGTCTGATAAAAAGAAATTACAGATTTTACCGAAACAATGTTGGTTATCAATAGGAATGGAAGATATGCCTGACATTTTTCCCTCAATCATCAACAAAGAATTTCAGATTCACTTTTTTTTCTCACTAAGACACTGCGCAGATAATGTATGTAGAAAGAAGATAATAGAAAGAAGATCTAAACTGAGAGTTATGGGCAAAAATAACTAGTTCAAGTGATAAATTATTCGAATGTTTTCTAGGCTATATGGACATGGAGACGTGGTTCTTCTATAAGTTTGCGTGATGCACTCAGTGTATAAGGTAAAAATAGAGGAGGAGAGGTTAGTTATCCTTTACACAGAAGAATAATCCCTGTCTTTGGGATTGAGAGAATCAAACGAAGTTTCCTAGAAATTTAGCGAAGCATCAGAAGTAAACAGATGGGAACTAACAAATGTTGTATGGAAATATGTTCTTTTAGTTGAGTATTATTTGGGAAAATACGAGTGCATGTGGAACAGCGATGAATTTGTATATTAGGCAGGCGGAAATGATCTCGTGCATTGTGTTGTCGAGCTGCTTCAGCATTTCGATATACCTTCAATTTACAGTTGTTGGAGATATGAAGTCAAATAGGAATGCTTTAGATTCAATAAAAAGAACCCCACAATACTTTCAATTAAATTACTCATTCTTTTGTCATTTCTCACATCTTTTTATGCTTCAACTTTGTACTTTAATTTCTAAGTCATTTCTAACTCAACTTTTATTTTATTGCATACTTCCCTTTATGATATGAAGAAATTATTCTTAAACTTACTGTACCAAATAATTTGGATGCAACACAGTGCTTAATAAAGATTTAAGAGACTATAAAGTGCTTTTTCAGAACTTCTTTCTTCGTTTACTGTATAATAATATACAAAAAGTTCAGGAAGAAAAAAATGAATGGATTACTTTCTGGCAAGTAAGGCAAACGTAACGTTTGCCACGATTGGTGGTGATCTGTTGATTACCAAGGTGATAGGTAACGATGTGATATTGGACGTTTTGTTTTAAAGTGAAACAACGACCGCATTCATCACAAATATAACGTTTATCACGAAAACGCTGATAGCGTTTACGTGGTCCATCGGGAGTATTCCAGTCATCTTCCTTTTTCACAAAAATTTCCTGAAAGATCGTGCATTTATTCGGCTAGATCAGTCATTTCTTGATATTATGCATTGTGACATATATATTTTCACAGAATACTTGTCAATGAGAAAGCAATGGAAAATGATTCAATATCTTTTACTTTCTAAACGCTAGAATCTGGATTGAATGATGTTTTTATTTAATGAATTCTCAAACTGAATATGAAAGTTATAAGAAATTAAAGAAACTTGAATGCCATCGGTACTGTTGTATTGATCAAAGAATTCTCGCCATTCTTCACTGTACGACTCTTGATACAAATTCTCTAAAACATCACACGTGGTCTCGATAACCATTTCCAAATTAAGATCTACATTATCAATGCTTGATTCGAACAGCAGACTTTTGAAGTCACATTTTTCTAAATGAAGGCAAGGTAATTAATAAATTTGCAAATGCCAATAATAAACGCTCTTCCCAACGTAATTTTTGCTTTTTTCCTAATTTTTTATCGTTTCACACAGGTATGACTGAGAATAAATTGAAAGCCCACTTCTTTTTGCAGGGCTTTAAAACGACTGTTAAAAGATTTAATAATAAACTTTTGAATCTCATTTAAGATAACATTAACCGAAATAGCATCCAAAACTCTGCAATAAATTAAAGAGAAAAAAATAAATTGGAGCACATAAATCCTTTAATCATTAAACAAAAAAAAAACACTACATATTTCTCTATTAACTGATAATGATTTCAGGAAAACTAAAGAATAAAGTTGATCAGTAAAAAGAAATTTGTATAGTCTTATATATTACATTTATTATAATAAGATGCCAGTTGTAGGAAGAAATTGACAAGTCATATGCAGATGCCAATCAATTTTAAATAGTTATCAAAAAAGACTGAAAAAACTGATGTTTGCTGTACGTCGGTCAATTTACATTGCTTTTAGAAATTGGAAAAAAAAACTGTATGATAAGAAAGACAAATATCTGGCAAGATTTTCAGTAGATTCTTTTATATCCGATGATACCTTCGGAATTGTTCTAGATTGTACAGTATTAATCTTTAAATAAGCTGTGAACTTAATAGGTTTTTTAATATATTCATTAAAAAAAATCTAATGCACCTTATCATTTTCACTGCTCTTCTAATATCTTTTTGTACTCGTCATACAAGCTTTATGAAAAGGTTTTTCAGTTTTGTTTCTCTTGTAAAATTTCACCGAATAAGATGATAACATAAACTAGGAAACAATCTTATACAATCATTGTATAAGGGATTTCGGAGACAGAAAGTCCGAATCAGAAATTTCATGCACTTTTAGTTGCACAAACTGACTATTCATTGCTAAAATTGATTCTAGGCTTAAAAATCTGTAAATCTGAAAAAGATTCATCAAATTTTATTATTGTCATTAATAGAAAATAAATGACCAAATATTGGAAATTTTGGGAAATTTCATCGAGGGAGGAAATTAGGAATACCTTTGTCACAACATATACAGGTCGGATATTTTGGAAGATTCTCTGTTAACATAGGATCCCGGAAACTGCCACAATCCTCCTCAAGCTGCATTTTGAACAGTGTTAATGGGAAAATTAATGATTTCCATTTAAATTCAATTAAAATTTGCATGCACAAGTTGCTTTTTGTTGCAATGAAATGTACAATAAATATGAAAGATATTTCAAAGAATCTCATTTGCATTTCAGATTGTTTTCCATTTATCAGCAATATGTTATGCGTAGTAAGTTAAATAATCAAACAATAAATTACAAAATAAAAGATTAACAATATCATCAAGAAACATAATGGACATAAATATCATTGAACTAAGTTCATGAAGTTACGTTATTCAAAGGCAGACATTTTTTTTCACTAATGATAGTTTAATAATAGTTTAGTGACAGTTTAACAATAGAATGATAGTAGTTTAGAAGAGTAATAATGGAAGTTTCATAAACGTCGAGATGAGTTGACTATTAATGAAAATCAGAGGAAAATTATAAATCAGATGCAAAATTAAAGAAACATGCAGATTTTTTTAGATTTTGTTCGTGATCATGAAGGAAGAAATTCATAAACGATCAATCATCTTTCCCTCGTACTTTTATGTGTAGATTTCACTTTCAACGTTGTTTACGTGCTGTGGAATAAAGAAGGAGAAAGAAAATGTCAGTTAATATCAGAGACAAATTAAAAAAAAAGAAGGAAAAAACTTCATTGGATAATGCAATCTGAAATCCACACTTCTGAAAGAAAATAGAATTCAAATAAAGCTCAAGAAATTAAAGTTATTCTTAATGAATTTCAGTTAACAGAAATCTGAAACAAATTAGAAAAGCGAAAAAGAACTGAAGAAATCATAAAACTAGCGTTATGACAAGCGAGCCAAGCAAATGAAAATAAAAATCGTATTAAAATCTAATTTGTACATTTCATTTTAATGAGAAAGGCAACTCACTGTGACTTTAAATTGATTGAATATTGGTTTTGTTGATCAGTAAATAGATCAACTGATCCGCCACTCTTTTTACCTACTCATCTACTAGCGAATTAAATCAAACAGTTTAAAATTGTCATCATGACAATTTTGCTATGTAAAGCCATCTGGTGATTGACTAATCTTATTGAACCGATTATTGGAGCAGGAAATTAAACTATCTAATAGTTAAAGAAAAAAAACAAAAAAAAATCAAATAAGGTTACATGGATGCTAAAAATGAAACAATGATGCTATCATCATTTGGACAGAAGTGGGAGCACGTTGAGATATATAATTCTTTAAATGAAATTTTTGCCTAACATAATTTTAAATTTTATAAATTACGTCGAATAATTTCTGTGATTTACTATACAAAAATTTCTTCATTCAAAATAGTTTAAAAGAGTAACAACAATATCAGAGATTGTTTTGTTTCTGCTTATCGGTAAAGTCTTTCACCAATTCCTGTTAATCTTAACTTATCGGGCTTGTATTTTTTGCATAGAGTTATCATCGTTTCAATACTTGTAACGTAAAGAGAACATGGTTTATGTTAGATATTTTGGTTTGGATGCTTGTGTATGTCTTATTTTTTGTTTTCGGTTCTTTGTGTGCGTTGTGTTTATACTTGAATTTGGTTGTTTTCTAACTCGTGTGTACTTTATTACTTTTCACTTATTTCTGTTTTTTTCTTCCGGCTAGGTTAGCTGGAATTCACTTCTCTAGCGCTCCGAATTATCGCAATTTTACCCATAACAAGCACTCATTCCTATTCTATATATGCAGAATGGAGGTGAGTTGCTTTTTCTGGATAAAATTTTTACTGGCTGAGAAGATTGACGCTGCGTAGTACAATAAGCATCATTGTTCTGGCTTTACAAGTTTGTCTTTTTTTTTTAAATTTATTAACTGAATATCACCATTAGTACGGACAGCATAGTATAGCATCACTATTCGAAGCAATAGTTCAATTTTAAAAAAGCAATAATTCATTCTCATAATTATATCTCGGGAGCTTTGCTTTAATGTTTTTCTGAAATTGGCTTATGCTATGTTGCTTTGCAGAATCTTACAAAAGGATGAAATGACTTGATAATTTCCTTCCATTTTTCAGGTCTGGTAGTTTGATTCCTATTTTTACTTTGCGCAGGTGTACAGCTGTAAAGCTACAACTGTAGAGGTTCTTCAAAACGACGGGCGAAGAAGTGGATTTCGGTACTGGAGGTGAGGAAGGTAGGTCGTTGCTTTCGTTTATATTATTTTTGAATTGTAAGCAGATGAATGAAAGGTATTTAATGCATTTATGAAAAATATGCTTATCTGTTGATCGGTCGATTATCTTTATATGGATGCCTTAATTTAGAAAGTGGAAAATATCGATACAAAATTGTTGTGCACTAAAAAAGGGGCTTTAACAGTATTCAGTCTGTGTTCTTAATCTATTAACATGTGGGTTATCTATTGTCAGGAAGGAGTAAGGAGAAAGTTATACTAAGATGGTATTTAGCTTCTATAACTTTTCTTAATGTATTATCCAAGTTTTAATTCTTTCTTGTACAAAACGATATCGCTATCACTGCATAAATCGGAATGGTGAGGAAGTAAGTCGTTAAGATGAGCTCACTGAATTAGTTTTTTGCAGAAGGCTCTAGTGGCCGGGGTATGGCAGATATTGTTGGTCCGCTGCGTCCATCAGATAGCTGGTCAACGACGGAAGTACGTTCATTACAGCACTCTCATGTTTGGACTATTCGCGGTTTTTCACAGTGCGAATGTCGGTATCTGGAAACATCAGTTAAAATCAAAGAAACGGTTGTTTATCTTTTTTCTAGTAGCATAAGAGGAATATGCAATGTTTTATGGTTTGAAGGAACATAATAACTACATTAAAACGAAATACAATATTTGGGTCATGTTAACTTTACCTTTGTATCGCTTATATATTCGTATAATTTTAGCCAGTACCTACAAATACACTTGATGGAAATCACTTAACGTTTCGGATAAGGTTACATCCACAGGGCAATAAAGAATCGAATAAAGATTTCAGCTTTTTCCAGGTTGGTCTAGATACTATAATTATTTCTTTAATTTATTTTCCTATACAGTTGCAGTTGAACTGTGTCATATGTCACTACGTTTTGAAATGAAACTGTATCTTCCCTGGTAGCTGTTCTCTCTCCTAATACTTATTGCCATATGTTCTTATGTCAGTTGCATGTTCCGTGATAAAAATCTTATTGCAGTACATTGTTTAGGTTTTCTGCAACACGAATTCAGCCAAATATCGCGCAAAATTTTCAGTATACAATGCAAAAAATGAAGAAGCCCCGACCACTGTTTACACTGGTACGCAACAGGTGGAGTTCTTCTTGCTAACATTAGGTGCAAAAGCATTCAGCATTTTATTCAAAAATCAGATGCACGTTTTGATCTCTCAATATCTGATTTTCGTTAGCGATTTTGGTGAATGACAAAGGTAAACAATAGATAGCTGAAATTAATAGATTTCTGCGCTTAAATTTACTCAATTGTACGTCAGTTTATTTCCAGCTACATGGGTATTTCGAGTACATACGTCGCGATGTTTTAGTTAGTCACATACAGCCACAGGATGAATTGCAGCTTGTTTTAAGCCTTACTATCACTTTTGATACTGTTACTAAAAGTAGCCAGAATCCACGGCAATGCAACGTTCCAGATGCTCGTCCAGCGGAGGTTAATTCTTGTTCCAAATCAAAATTGAAATTCTCGAATATTCAGCAGATAAGAGCTATTGGGCTAAATGTAATCGGCATTTTGTTAATCGTATCTATGTTTTAGTTACCATGTTTTAGAAACTGCTGAACACTTTCAATTTGATTAGATCATACAGCAAAAGGTACGGACATTGTAGATATTGCTTATCTTATAAAATCATGGAAAAAAATTACTACTATATCCGATCATAGTATCTTTCAGATAGCACGGGATTTGGAGGCAATTTATAAGGAAGGACGTCTTGCCGATTTCACAATAGTTGCCAGTGGACGCGAATTGCCGGCCCATCAGATAATACTCTCAGCTCGTTCTCCAGTCTTCGCAGCAATGTTAGAACCGCACACAGAGGAAGCTAAAAATAGTCGCGTTGTCTTTCCAGATATAGATTTTGAGGTTTACAGTTTCTTTATTTCACTTTGGTTTGCAATACACTTCTTCATTATCCCTATTTGCTAAATTCGTTGGGCGATCAAATAATTTTTTATTAACGACAGTACTTTTGTTACTACCATTTTATTCTGCTCTAACTGGATATTGGTTTTGCTTCTTCAATTCTCAATACTCTTGTTTACATACTGAATCGAGTCAAATTTCTATTCGCTTTCATTTAACCGAATTAAACTCCAGGATATACTTATTGTCATTTTCAGTTGAACAAACTTTCACAACTGGTAACATTCTCATAATTCCTCTCTTTAGTTCGCTTTAATTCTATATTTTAATCTTTTGCAGTGATAGTTTGTTGAATCATTTGCTTACATTGATTCACAGGTAATGCAAGAATTGCTGCTTTACATGTACACTGGTCGATCCCCCAATTTATCTAGTATGGCCTTAGATCTATTAGCAGCAGCTGATCGCTTTCAGCTTCCAGGTCTCAAAGAGATGGCTGATCAGGTTTCTTTTGAATAATGTTTCCTGCTACGTACAGTAATATAGACGCTGTTATTCTTTGATCATATAAAGGAATTGTCATAAGCTTGTTGGATAATTGTAAATCAACATAGTATTTATATTGTATTGTTGCTTCATTAAACTCTGTTTAAGATAAATAAAAGAAATTATGGATGTAACTCGAGTTAAAATTTCTCAAATAATTTAAATCATTTGATTAAAAAAATGAAGCTGCCATTTGAATACTATTACTTAGCATGGTTCAAGAAATTTTCGAATAGCATCTATTGTTTAAATCTAACAGTTTGATGATTTCTGACTAGCTTTAAGGTACTTCGCACTGGACTGATCGTGGAATCTGCTTGTCGTTATTTGGTCTTTGCTGATATGCACAATGCACGGGAGTTGAAATCGGATGCCATCAAATTTATTGCACAGAACTCATCTTCCATTATCACTGTATGTTTTCACTTCTGTTAAGCTGAGATAGCAAAAAACTTGGATTTAGTCGCTGAAAGAACATTTGGATTTAGTCGATCATCATTGAGTACCGACTTGATGATAACCGACTGAATCCAAGTTTTTTTTGTGGTAGTGGATTTTTTGTTTTTCTGGCAGTTTATATACAAGGGACAAACTACTTTTATGTCGTATTAGATTCAAGTCTTTTCATTAATTTTCCTTCATCTTATTTTTGCATAAAAGTTTTATTTGAATATTTTCATAAAATAGTAGCCTAGAATATGATTATTAAACAAACCATTGTGGCATTTAATAAGAGTATTAAATATCACATTGCTTTTTCTAATAAGCAATTACTTCTGAACAGCTACATCCTAATTTCATTTTTATGTTCTTTAGTTGCTTCGATTTATTTATATTTCATTTATTTTGTTAAATTTTGAAATGCTCTTGTTTGAAAGAGATATTCCAAGTTTAGAAAGAATGTTCTCACTCCATTTCTTTTTATGCTTTAGTTCCATTTATGAGAAAAAATTTGTAGTTTTGATTTGGATAAGAGATTTTCCAGTCCTCATTTAACAGAAAATTATGGATGATCATAAAACATAAATTTTATTAGCGGTGTTCAGACGGATGGTTGGACAGAGTTAGTGAAGGAGCATCCAACTCTAGTTACTGAAGTTGTTGCCGCAATATCAAGCAATGATCCTCGCTCACTGAGTGCTAGCAGCAGCCCAAGTATGTTTTGTTCCTTATATAATAAAATTTTCAACTCTTGTGTCGAAGCAGAAAGTTCCATGGTCTGTTTTTATTACTGTAAAAATGGCTGATGTTAATTAGGTTGATGCAAAAGTTCGACATAAACTTGAACAGAAGAGTTTGTAAATGTTCTTAAAAATTTCTTTTTCAACAAAACAGATAATAATGGCATTTATTTTTTGTATCAATATCCTGTAATCAGGTTACTGCAATGAATATTAACTGACTACGATTGTCATTTCCTATTAAAGATATATGCCCGAATTTCAGCATGTTTGACAAACTAATAAGTTTTAATTGGTCTCAAGATCTTTTTCATTTCAGGCTCATCATCGGAGCCGACGACAAAGCGAACTCGCTTAAGTGGTGGAGTCTAACGTTTGTAGATTGGTGATTACTGCTGTTCAAATCATGCATTATTATCTTTTTTAACAGTAAAATTTTTCCCTCGTTTCGTTCCATATTTCATCAGCAGAACGAGTGATTATTATCTTTTGAAGTTATTTTTCTGATCTATTATCTCTTTTTTTTTTGTTGCAATAATGTGACTTTATCATTCTTCTTGTACAACCAGTTTTCTTTTTGAATTTTTGTCGAAATTTTTTTTGGAATTTGGAAAATTTCTTAAAAGTTTTTTTGCTGTTCTGTGGTACGACTTTCAGTCGCTTTAGGTGTATTTTGAATTTTATTATAGTTGTATTGTTTTTTGATTTCATGCTGAAAATTTACTCTGTTATGAAAGCATAGTTTTTTATTCATAATTACTGCGATTCCGTTTTAGAGAAAGGGTTTTGCCTTTTTAAAATTACTTTTAAAAGGTATTTAACTCCAATTATATGCTTCTGATCGCCTGTAAGGTTGGCAGTTTGAATGCAAAGATTTTAGAATTCTCCATTACCCAGTCATTCACTGCAGTATATCTCGCTGTGTACCGAGCTTTTGCTCATTTTGCTAGCATTATTCATTTCTCATAATCCACCTTCTTTTAAAGGGTGGTTGTAAATTCAATGTTGGTTAATTTCTAGAAAAGTTGCAAATTTTTGTTAATAGTTCGATGTATGATTGTTTTTTATTAAATGATCAAATAAATTAAAGATAACTGTGAGATTTCTTGGTTACATTTTCTGTTTTAAATTGAAGTGACGTATTAGTCATTTTCAATTTTCGATTGTACGATAGCTGACGTCATAAAAATAATTCAGTGCATCTGATTGAATTGCTGTAAAAATTTATCGGAGCTCATCATTTCGTTTTTGTGATAAAAAAAATTTGTCGTATGCACTAGTTGCATGTGTCAAATGTATTCATTTTTGTTCGATAGTTATTGCACTGTATACCCTTTTTCAGTTTCGGCTATATTCACCCATTTCAAGGCCATAACGAACGTGATGAATGGGTATTTTTATATCAGTTAAGATGAAATTTCGTACTTTGTACTATGTTCTCAATTCTTCACAAACGACCTAAAATCATCGGCAGATTGCAAAATTTGTAGATATTTCTCGTCTTCGCGATCTGTTTTCACTTCAATACCGTTTTGTTTAGTTCAGTCCGGTATTCTAAGCATGTGCTAGCGTGTATTGTTACAATTGAAAAAGATTTTTTTTTTTAAAAAAATGTTTAAAAGATCAGGAGTTTGAGAATATCGATAGAATTTGAGTGAACTTTAGCCTTTCATTTATAAACTTTGTAGTATAATCATCAAAGTTTACTTATGATAATTGCAATAG